ATTCAAATTTTCGAAAATAAACGTTTTTCTCCTTGATAATTTCTTTCAAAATCAAAATCCTGTTAAATAAATACCCATCTTTCTGAACTGTATTAGTGCTCTTGGGTCATTCATTTTTCAAAATGGTTGTCGAAACCAGTTTTCGATCTGTGTATATTACTCTCTGGAATCAATCCATCATAGTTAGTTCCCTGACGGAATAAAAAGTACGAATAATTTCAATCGAACACTTCTGACATAATTGGTTTGATACCTAGTTAACGAAACTCAAATATTTTCTGAGCCTCTATCGATCTGAAAAAGTATACACTTGGCAGTGGCCATTTCACTCAACGAGCAAATGTATTAGATAAAAATAGTGAAAGTTTTTATTTGATCATATGGTGAATTGTTTCCTCTATATGTCAAACAAGGCGTCAACTGAAGACCTAGGAAACAATGCACTGCTTTTTAAACTGGTTGGATTTCTTCAACGGTATGAATCCACCGATACGCTGAGGATAATAATAATTGCTCTAATTAGACATCGTATTACAATGCTACTCACAGTATCTCCTTCAAATAATGAATTAATAGCAGATCTTCTTCTTCAGAGGATTTGGTATTCGTTTAATAAAATTCTGTTCAACAAACCGATCTTGGTAAGCATCCGAAGGCAAGGTACTTTTTGATTAACCTTAGCTAACTTAGATAACTATCTAGCTTCTCCCGATATCTTAGTTTGTGTTCAAAAAATAAACCAATGTCACGTTTTGGCATGAAACCGCATTACAGGCTAGTTTTGGAACCATGACCTAGAGGAGTCTCTATTGTATTCTCATTTGCTTTGTATCCGAGCGGAAACGAGAAGTATTATCTGCTTTACCACGGCCTGGCATCATTTAAAGTGTGGTACCTTCGTTGATCCGTAGATTCAAATCCTTTGGTCTAGTAACCTGATCCATAGGTATAACAGACTAACTTCTCAGAAGATTATGAAACTGAATGTGAACAATAAAATCATCTTGCCTACTGGGCTGCTTGATCATCTGTGTGCATCGCCCTCACCTTACATGTAAATGACTTAGTACGCAATCAGGAAAACTTCCATTGGTGGTGTTTTAGACCGGTAATAGAGATGGGTTTGTTTGAATAAAATCAGGAAATTAATTATACATCGTTTTCTTCCACGTCTTTTATGCTAAACACACCATGACGCACCATGACTGTTTAGACGTTTAGTGATTAGATCTATTCTGAATAATTGGTTCGTTTAATATACATTTATACACTTATGAGTGCATATGTATGCATTTACAGTGATAATGGTGGTGATGTTGGGGGTCAACTGAAAATGGCATCACCAGTTTGTTTTTTGCCCGAGGTTGGAACCTCGACACCATCAATCACATTTAGAGCCAGACATCTCCGTTTTTATCCGGTTGAATACCACGTCTATTATTGTATAGCTACTCCAACACCTGGTGCTTAAATAGCCGATTTTTATGATTGAATAATAGATCCTTGTGCGTGTCAATTAAACAGTAGTGTTTAAAGGAACAAATCTGACCAAGCGATGTAGTTCACTGTCAGATTGTCCTGAGGCCTTTGTTTTCAAATCCTACCAACGACATTTAAGTTTTTACTTCTTTGTAGCCTAAGGTAATTTGTAAATTATCACTCGTACCTCTCTTCGTCCCTCTCTCTCTCGATATCACAGTAATATATTTGATAAAAGTGGGGAAACGGTTGATACAAAATAACTGTTTGCACGTTGCACAATGTTTTTTGGAAAACTAATTGATTAAGATATTTCAGTTCTCTAACCTGAATCTGCAGGATTATTTTGGAAACTGATATAAATTTGTAATCAAATCCTTGTGATTACACCTCAACACCACCGTTTTCACTTGATCACAATTATCAACCCCCCATGCATAGTATGCTCATTACTTGATTGGGCCAAATAAACCTGCCTGGAAACCGATGGATTAGAGTGAGTAACTCAATAATGCTTCGAATATGTCGAACATTTGTCATCATTTCAAGTGCACGGGTCGAAGTGACTTCTTAAACCGTTTTCTTTGGTTGTGAGTTTCTGCCGCTATCGTAACCAAGTGTTAAGAGTAGATACGCACGGTGGTGTTTGGTGCCGGACGGGACCAGAGCATATCACGAAGCGTTCTTTTTCGCAGGAAGAGAGTGCGCGTTTGTAAAGACGAAAACCAAAGAAATCTGAACCTATCGTCCCCGATTGTCTGCTCATGCCTGTTCAATGAAGTAATCCGGAAATTTGTACTAAACTTAATTCTATATCTTATTGGATCCACACCTCCAATTAGTATTCCTCAATTTGTCTTGTTAACAGATTGTGACCACATTACGAATGAGCTGTTGGACATGAGCGATGTAGTAATTTTATTCCACTGTGAGCTGCATGACAATCAGAGCGGGTTATCTCGGACTTTTGGCCAAAATAGCTTTGTTTGCATCGTCTGTCACTTGTTGCTGTGTTGTCAATATGGCGAGGTTTTGAAATCAAATAACTGTTTGTTACTCGTGTTTCAATGGTCCTGAATCAGAGTTTCACTACACAGACCAAACAAAATAAAACCACGTTTACCATTACGGTTGACTGAATTAGAGGCGGTATTGTTGATTGGGTGAGTGACTGAACAACTGTGTGTGGGAGACACGGAGGAGGCGACAAATAAAATCAAGTTTTGGACAGGTAAACTCAACTGAAAATTTCCTATGAGCTGTATTGCGACAAATGAGTACTTGATCGATATGAGTTGAAGTTAAACATATTATATTGTCCCAATTGTTATAAGAATACAGATACTTCACCTTTGCGCTTCGCGTTTTCCTCGTCGAATGCTCGCTTCCTGATTAATCTATGTGATACCTCGCTATGTCAAAGTAAGCCTACTGTTTTGGCTAGCTGCAACGAAATCCAACAAAATGTCTGTATCTGAAAATCTGTATTCTTGAAGCATTTTTAAAGCTACAACTTTCGACCCAATTCGCTTTAAATTCTTAGGCTTAGAAATGTAATGAGCCTATGGAATCAATCAAGCAGATTTTTCGCATCCTCATAAAAATTAAGGGTATTGAAAGAAATTTATGAATAGATAGTTTTCTTTTTTATCTGAGTGATTTTCAGATAGTCGTTGATTATCAGATACTCCACAGCCAGCCACAGAATTGACGAATTGCCGTCAAATTTTATGAAGAACCTTGCTGTTCGCAGTTGTTGAATGTCTGACAGATTCACCCCAGTACAACTGGACCAAATATATGTGGCCTCGCGAAAAATGTCAACCTCGGATCATCTTTTGCCGAGTTTCTGAAATTTTTGATCCGTTAAATCCGTAAATTCTGTATGGAAACTAAAATCTAATGGAGATCGTTCTCAGTCGGATTGTATGTCCTTTGGTCGTATTTCACACAAATACTGAGTGCCAAATAGTACATCGTATTGTCTAATTGTACCAGTCATCACCGCTATCAGGGTATCCAGGAGCAGGTTCGTACGCCTTCATCGACGAGGTTTGAAATCAGTATGAGTAAGTGCACTCGACGAGCACTTTCGAGTGTTCATTTCCAATGCAAAACAGGTATCAAATGAAAATGCCATGAAACATCATAAGCAAACCTAGGATTCCTTGAACAAAAATTGTTGTTTCTGCATTCCTTTCGCGTCAGTTCATTCGTTTTCAGTATAACAAATTTGGAAGGAGCATTGAATGGGACAAATATCCAAATCACTGTCGAAATATTCTCAAAGATGGCATGGATTATCACAAATCTACCATCTCTGTACGTTATTGGCATCTCAGCGAAAAAGACAAGCAAAATATCTCTAATTTTCTTTTTTTTTGTTAATTTTCTACTCGGGCACACTTTACATCTTTCTACTAAAATGGAAAGGAGTTAAACGGCCTAACCCCACTCACCACATTGGTATGCATGCTTAAACATTCAGTTTCCTAGTTTATGTTCTACATTTTTTCATTCGCATTTTCCATTATCTCTTATCAGAGAGCTGATATGAATCAGGAGGAATAAATTCTACTTAGAACATACAATGAAGTTCTTTTTAATCAAAATGTGTGTTTTGAAACACACATGAAAGGTTTCTGTCTATGGAAAAAAAATCAAATAATGATTTATCAATTTGAAAAATTAGATTGTAACCTTTTTCCATACCACACATTTCTGATCACAGAATTATGTTGTGATATTTCTTAGAAATACATGCAAATCTGCTGTTGATCCTGTTACATTTGTTCCCTACTTGCCGACATCTAATTTCGCATCAGAATCCGGTTCAAATCATATGTTTGGTTCGTTATCGGTGTCACACGTACAAACCACATAGGACCTGAATTCAGACGTGTCAGAAATGATGTTTGTATTAGGACCAACAAAAATTATGCCGGGGGTCACACTTATCAGACACGGCATGGAAGTCTTTGCCTAGCCCCTTGTACTGTGCTGTTGGCATCGTTGCATCTTCGCTGAAGGCAAGCACAAAATACTCACGAATACTGATTTGCATGTATGCATTATGCATTGGTCAGCGACAACTGGCCATCACTCCTCCCCCTATCCCCGTCGCGTCTATTTGGAGCTCACCAAGCGTCATCAGTGCATCCATTTATCTTAAAGCGAACTTGGTGGGTTGTATAACCTACAACAACATTCCTACACAGAGCGCTGGGCAACCGGTGCTCCGCCGTTTACTAACTACTGATCCTCCGTTTGGTGCCGTATTTTTGCCTTTTTGAGTACCTCAGTGTGGTAGCAAAAGAAATCGTGTTTTTTTTTTTATAAAACCGTGGGGGCTACATCAACGAGCGGATAGGCAGACTTTCTGACTATATAAACTCCAGTAGTTCGCTGACTGAACCAGATTGTGCCGTGGCAGCAGTCAGAAAGACATCGAAAACGGTTTCGCCACCATCTCACCCTTGTTTCTGTCTGTACGATAAAATACGCACGGACTTTTAAACCAGATGCAACCTGCACTGGTCTTGTTTGCTAGTTTTATCTTTGCTCTGTCGTGGAGCAACGGATGGACACTTTCGTTGGACAAACAAACGCATCGCGATGGAGATTTGAAACTTGTTGATGGACCGGCCCCGACTATGGGTACTGTGCTCGTGTTTCGTGGATACGGTTGGGGTCGTATTTGTGATGATCACTGGACAATGCGCGAGGCACAGGTCGTTTGTCGGCAGTTGGGAATGGGACATGCTTTGGAGGCTCACCGAAGAAATCGATACGCGTCAAACATTGGTGGTAAGTGCATATCAGGGTCATATTTAATGCAATTGAATTAACTGGCTTGCATTATGTCTTTCCATCCTTCTATTTTACATAGGACATTAATAAGCTATGGCGATGAATGCCCTAATTAGTTATTGTTGTCATCACTTCTGATTCCCCTTGGAATAAAATTATTCACTTATTAATTAAACCACCAAGCAGGAGATAGTTCCAACTTGTTCGGCATTAATGCTGCTCATTTTAGGGATATCTGAATTGTAATTCTTTTCATTTCGTTGACAACGTACATAAGAGTATATGATTCATTGATCATACAGCGCATATTGATTATCATTACGTGACCTAAAAATATATTGGTGAAACAAATTCTGTTTGAATAAAAAGGGAGAACAAACAGGTTTATTAATTTACTGTGAACAAAAGAAACGTCCTGTGATTTAAACCTGTGCTGTAAACTTTGTCCGTTTTAGAAAACACGCTACTTCATTCCTTTTCGTCGTTGCCTAGCAGAAAATGGCACCAGTGCATTTGAAACAATTTAACTCCGATTGATCAGATTAGGCGGAATATCAGATTCACAAGAGAAAAACTAGGACAAAAGCAGCATATAAATCTACTTCATTAAAACAAAGTAGGTTGTGCCTAAGTCAATCTACTTGGCGTCGAATGTTTATTTTTACCGCAGCACCATCGGCGACATCAGCCCTGTGAAATGTTATTTTCTACTTATGTCAACAGAGTAACTATGGTGTCGCCTCTGCTCAATCTTTTTACAACCTGTCGCGCAAATGAGCCCATTGGGTAACAGGTGTGCCCTTTTTCGTGGTGTCATATCAAAATTTAACTCTCCGATTAATTTTGATCGATTGATAATAGCATGATATTGTTTGATTTTTTCACATTAACTGTCTGTTCATTGCTAACAAACAACAAAACAGTGCCATAATCTGATGATCAAATGAGTTTGGTGATTCGTGTTTTAGATCACCGAATACACCATCAGATCTGAAACTCTCTGTTGGGGTAATTTCGTTTTGTACTTCGATGATAACAAGTTTGAGGTTTCATCACGTAATAGACATGACACTTTATCGGGATTCATCCCCTGATTTAAGAAAAAGAAAACAACTAAACCTTCTGCTTGAAACTAACGAAAGAACATTTTAAGGAAAACAAATAAGGACAGTTGTGAAGTCAAGCCAAGTGAAGAAATTTCTTTATCGCGCTCAAAGAGACACATTGCGTTGACAAATATGCCACATAAAAACCGGAGAACCTTACGAGAAGGTGTTTGTACTTATAAGAGTCGGAAGAGGTGCAATAGTATTTAGTTGAAGCGGAATCTAGATAGTGAGAAATCTTATCAGGAACGATGCTGTGTTGAAAGATAGCGTAGTAAATGACGTAAACGGTAAACTATGAATCAGCGTTTGACTGATGGAATATCATGTAGTTATCCTTCTCATGATAAATTGAGAAATATCACCATGGAGACGGAGATCGAGAGGAAGAATGTGGGTCAGCGCAAACTCCGCGGGGTATGGATAAAAGCTTTAGATGGAGGAGACCTAAAACTAAAAATTACAACTTGCGGTAAAACACGATTGACATGTTCGAATCAGTTGAGTAAAGAATGGATCAAATGCCTCCGAAAGTTACCTCATCTTCCTCAACTAAGGAGTGTATCGCAACCCAACACGCCTCATAAAAATCAAAGTGGACAAAACCAAAGGTTTTTGGATGAAGCTTGAGCAATTCGCTCCATAAAGTAACAACTCTGTAGATGGCAAGTCGATACATTATATTAGCAATCAAACCCATTAATTTTTTCAAAATTTTCCAAGTTGCTTCGGTTAAATTATTCCGTGTTCCACTGAAATTCTTGACAGCTTTCACAAACATAATCTATTTTGAATTGACCTTTATCCAACGTTCTTCAGATCAAATTCAAAATCGCTGTTCTGTTGTGTTAGGAGTTGTGATGGGGCGTTTTCTTCATCACTGCTAAAATCCTCTATTGTGTTTTCCTATGGTTTTGTTTCTATTACCTTTGAAATAATTTTTTTTTCAAACTAAGTTTTTCGTTGCCTCGACTCACAATGCAATGAAATTATCGTTTCATATCGTAAACGAGTCACTGATTTATGATCTCATCTCACTTTACGTCTCTATCTTTAATCTGTCACCTCCGGTGTATATTGAAGGTCTTATCATTGAGGTGATCAACGCAAGGAACTGCAGTGCAGACTATAAACACCCACTTGATTTACCTAAAACGAGTTTAAGAGGACTATTCCAATTTGCTGAATAACATTTGAAAATCCTCATACATGTATCATTAGCACACTGCATTTCACTCAATGATAATGAAACTTAATGTTCAGTACTTCATTGGACATTTCTGTGACAGTTCTGAGTACGTCATCCGTCTCTTCTGAATGGGGGAACGGATAAAACCGTTCAACGGAAACCTTCAATAAAATCTATTTTCATTTAAAGAAAGCACGTTGTTTGCCACCGAAGTAGAACGGTCTTTCCTTTTGTTCCCCGCTCACCTAAATACGCCAACAAATTATCGTCCTCTCATGTCTGACTGTTGACGAACAATATTACCTGAATCTTGACAGCCAGCACCTTGCCGTTTGTTTTTTCTCAACCCACTCACATCAGGAAGTTATCTGATGGACGAGGTTCATTGTACCGGTCGAGAAGAACGTCTCATTGATTGTCGTTTTTCCGGTTGGGGCGTGCACGATTGTAAACATAACGAAGAGGTCGGTGTGAAATGCTCGTACGAGGCCCCGGTCAAACTGAGACCCGCTTGGAATCCCTTGAGCCTGGAACTGAGCCAAGCTGACTTGGAAAAATTGTCAAAGGTAAAAGTGACTGACTTCGAGTTTCTTCAATCACCCAAATTTTAATTGTGTTACGTGATTTGATTTTAAGAAATCAAATTGTCATCCGTAGTCAATGTGATTGCTGAGTTATGATTCTCCACTAGATCGCACAGATTAGACTGCACAAACTAAAAATAGTTTGCTCACATCCGTCCGTTTTGTTTTGAAAGCATTGGAGCAATCACATTTTGTATAATATTTATCGAGGTGTGTTAGAGTCTCATTAATTAACCGGGGCTTTTAAATGTCATTATCAACAAAATATTCTATTTTCTATTTTCATGCCAGGTTAGGATTTGTAGAGCACCCAGAGATAAAGTGTTACCATCAACTCTCACTCTCCCTCTCTCTGAAATCATGGCAGTACAAAATTGTTCAGATTGAACCACACACTTTTCACGATAGAATTATAACAATATGTATTCAGTTAGATGGAACTATTCTCTACCGATAGCCAGGTGTTCGTTTGTTCGTTTTTACCTCGCTTTTATGGTTCAAAATATTGAGTTCAATTCAAAAGTTGTCAGGTCAATGATCGGTCACTGCACTGGTAACATTGGTATAAGTATAGACTGGTAAACTAACTGAGAATCGAGGACAATGAACGGTTTCATAGAACTTTGTAATCATCTTTTTTATAAGAATGTACCTGAGTTTATTCCAACAGTTGGACTGGGGAAGAGAATGCAAAAACAATACATTCGTTTTATCCTACCCTAATTGGGGGTAGTTGAATGATGAAACAAGCACATTCCGCCTTAACCGTCCTATCGTTTATTCTCACATCTAACCACGATGAACTAGCTAAGTTTGAATATCAAAAGAGAATAGATTTCAAGAGAAATATATATTCCTCTCACATAAAGACAGAAAATATCACCTTGTTCGGTGATCAAACAGTTACAAAAGGGAAGGCACCGATCACCCTCCCTCATTTATCACAAGCAACTGCGTTCCTCAAGGCACACGTCAGAAAACATTAGACTATAAGTGATGATGTGGTTTAATCTGACATTGATTAGATGAAACAGCAATCGCATATGTTTGTGCGTGTTTGTTTGCATTTGTATAAATCAAAGGGTACGGAGGTTTAGATAGTTCATGGATTAGTTGTCTGTTACCGGCTTTTTTAACTTCGAATGACTATCCATCTGTTGTATGTGAAAAAATGGGTCAGGCCTATAGATAGTCTGTGTATCAGAATTGCTGATAAGGTAACCCGAATTTTAGTTCGCCCTGAAAATAAATTCAAAACAAACCATATCTCCTTTCTGTAGTACAGGTTCCCATTCAAATCTAGAATACAATATATTACCCAATAGATATGAATATAATGTTTAATTAGTTATAACATTTTAACTAATCGATTTATACACCCCAAAAAACACCTTGGGTACGGAATAAGAAACAAAAATACGTAGATGGACAATCAATATAACATCACGTGTTTCGGAATCAAAGTAACAACTAGGAGTATGTAGTGATTGAACAAAACTTCCCCCAGAGAGCGCAGAGCTGACCTCTTGTTTCGTGCTACTCACGTGGTGCACCTCGGTCAATTAAATCTAAATTTTATACTTCCACCTTGTACTGCAGAGCACTTATTCGGATTCTTGGATAATTTTTTAGGAAGAGTTTACATGTGCGTATGAACTCACAGAGAAATTCCCGAACATTACAGGACCCCAGGGGAATTGTGCTAATTCGTGCTAATGTGCGAAAGTGTGATGTGAAAAAAACGCATGTATCCAATGGTTAAAACGTAAATAGAACAAATGACAGTGGGAGTAGAACGCTTTGACTGCTGTTTGGCTCTCACCATTCTCAAAGTCAATCATTTTTCGTCTACAAAAGTCACAAAGTCAACGATTGTGCTTGAGTACCATGTTCATGGTAAGGGGTGGATCACACGTTCAGTAACCAGAATGGAGTATTTTCAGACATGGACGAATTGACACAAATGCGGTTTACTCATTATCCCCGGAAATCCACATCCTTTTTTATCCTGAGCGTGGAAACAAAGACACATTTGTCCGCTCTTTCTCCCGATGTTCTAAAACTAACTGTGTACCCTCTCCACCCGGTAGCCAACAAATAAAAAGGAACAAGCTCCTTAACCAGACTTCACATCTGCGTTTCCATTTGTCTAAATTCACGGTAGTGCGTTACACAGCTCATCGTCTAAAATAGTTAGCAGAGGGAGACAAAGTGTTGTTTGATGTGTTTCACTCAGGAAGCTGACCAAATGATTTTCGCAGTCTTTGAGTACACGCTTAAAATGGCAAATGCTCTTAAGACTTACTCACATAACGACCTAGCCCAACACAGGCACGCAAATTTGAATGCGGGGGTGTATGTTTAACCAAATGAAGAATAGATGATGAAGAGTAATGTTTGCCGAAAAATAAAATAAAATACGAATTGAGCCCAATTACTCCGTAAATTAATTATCCTTTCTCCCATATGCAAGTTATTTTCGATACCGAACTGATAACGTTTAGGTCATGACATACAAATATAAAGTTTTGTTTGACTTTGTTTGACATTTTTCATATGACTGTGTTTGATTACATTTGATCAAGCATTTTTTAATTAATAACAAATCTTTCAATGCATTTGCTGAAGTACTCGGTTCGGAAGACACCAAAAGGACCCTAGAGACAGAAATGCTATGCTTTTGGAACTCTTATGTTTGATTTTGTAAACAATAGTCTGTATTCTTTCACTCGGATAAATCTTTTGGTTGATTGGCAATCCTGAGTGGAAATTGATCCCTGGGTTACGGTTGGATCAAATAGATTATATGTCACGTTATACTGATTTTCATTGCTGTCTTCCCCTCCTCGCCACATAAACCTTGTTGCTCATCCGCCCAACGCATCTTGTTTGGGTTGAATGACCCGTAGGTCGGAGTAAACCTGGTCCGTCCAAGAAATCTGCCCCAACGGACCGATGCGATCGCAAGTTTCTATCCAGTTCTGGTAGAGCTAGACGACGGAACAAAGGGTAGTGTCTGTCCGGATCATTTCAGGGGTGCAGAGGCAATTGTTTACTGCAAACAAATTGGAGCCGGAAATGGGGGTAGAGTGATCCCGGTAAGCCTGACATCTCTTCCCAAATTCACATAATCCTACTGTTGTTGTGATGTTTCCATTTTCTCACTTGCTTACGCGTTCCTTCGTCTTGCAGATGCCTCAACATCACACGGGTGTGAGTCGTAATACATCGGTGGCTATCATCGGTTTTTGTTACGGAAACGAAACCAATGTGTCCCAGTGCAAGACCTATGCCAGTCCGGAAGGTGTACCATGCAAATCGAATCTGGCTGCAGCCGTGGAATGTGTTAAAGGTATACGAGATAAATCCCTTTCATTCATGATAAACACACCGTACTCATTGTGATCAGCCACTGGTTAAGGTTCAATTGCACTCTTTCTGATAATGACTAAAATAATAATGAATGGCTGTTTTGTTCATGGATGCCATTTTTCTGAGAATTTTGATGCTATGACATAACCAGTTATCACGGGAGAGCCCCCAAATGAAACTCACCAATTCATTGCTTCCTCTGACTCAGTCTAAAATTACAGTCTTTGTGCTATTCAGTTTGAAGCTTTATAATTCTGATATTTTCAAGCCGTTTCAACCAAGTGAAGCTGAAAAATATTGTAACCGATATTAGACAATGTCATGCTTACATGGCTGTAAGGTTGGTGCTGACAACCTGAGAGTATGAAGCATTACAACTGATGTTTTTTCGAAAAGGCAAACTTAGACTTGAAGTTCTGCATTCTTACCATTTCTTTATTCAGTCTGTTCTTCTTACTATGATTTGTTTAAGTTTTCATTCGTAACTCCAATTCCCAAAACCACCCGAATACACGCATTTACACGATATATAACTTTGATTCGGAAGATAATTCCATTGCATACCACCGACAAATGATGATCGGGAGCAAAATGAGGATGATGGAATCACCGGTCGACCGGAATGTTGTTGGATTGAGCTCATTGGAAACCATTTCCCCTGGGGACTGGACCCATGTGGGATAATACGACAACGAGTGAATCTGATTCACTTTCTCTGTCGCTCAATCGCATCAATCAGTGGATCCTCACTCCACGAAAACCGAAAACCTCCGGTGGAATTAAGGATGTGTTCTATTGCGTGCGTGGGTGAGGGGATACGGGAATTGTATCATTTCGAATGAACTAAATATTTCCCTCAGTTAGTAAACAAACGTTTAGTGACTTGTAAAACGTCACGGCATAAATGTATTCCCGGTTAGCTGCAAACAGAACATGAGCTGACGAAAGAATGAGAGTCGACTCCAGTACTCATTGTCAGTTGAGCGTTCTATCTTTGCAAATCGAGCCATCAAGCACCGATTCTTAACAAGCCTGTATCAATACTGTATATTGAATGGAAAGCGTCTAGAAATATCGATTAAACAATACCATGCAGCTAATTAAATGACTTTCGAAAGGAACTTTGATGAAAGTCACTTGAAAGAGATTTATATACCAAAAGTCGTCTTGTGCACACAAATATTCTCATGATATACAAAGCTTACAAAGCAGCATGCACTCTACAGTGATAAACAGAGCATGTTTTCATACGGTCCAAAATGTATTGCTCACAAAAGTGATTTTTATTCAGAAAAGCTATGCAATTGAAGGTAAACTTTGATTTTATCTTTTTTACTCTATGGTGATGTTATTCAATCTTCGATGCTGTATCCGGAGATTCTTCTTTGGGTTTCAGTATTACATAATAAAAGGTTCGAGCTCGTCATCACGTGAATCATTAACTTAGTGTGGATCAGGAACAAACAGAACATTTTATGTTGATCTGTTTTTAAAACAAAACAAGACTACTAAGGATAAACTAGTTCCTTCTCATCGATGGAAAATCACATTATCAGTAGCAGAAAACTAGCACGAGGACAAATGGTACGGTTCTACGAAAATAAACAATGACAATTTTTGTCAGTACATGATTGATTGCATAGACGATTTCATTGTACCGTTTGACCACTTTGTCCGAGAAACCTTGGCTGATTTGTGAGAAGGTGGCGACTGAAAGAAAAATTACTTGTATGTTTAGGGGAGAAATAATATTCCTGGTTATAGGTGGTTTTTATTCGTATATCCGCTTGAATAACAATAGGGGTATCATGTGAGTCTGAACCGGATTAGGCGGTCCCTTCAGAGGGGCAACGATAATTGACTCTGATTTACTATAACATTTTCAATTAAGATATCGTAAAATCGATCTGAAATACCTTAGTATCAAACTATCATCTCTTGTTACTACTTTGACAAGATCTTGTGATATTGGGCTACGGGGTTGGTAAGCGAAAGACTTGTTCAGCTGACGATCACAGTACTACTACTAATCGATGAGTGATGTGGGACTTTCTTGCTTTCAGCGCGCTGAGAGTAAGCGATTTCGCGTCGCATACGATAGAAAGCAGCCGAGAGCTAAATGTGCCCCCCCCGTTTCATTCCAGCAGTTGGATAAATCTCTTTTCTAATGGCTTCGTTATTGTCCTCCGCAGGTCACTTACCATGCAAATCCAATATTAGGACTTACTGCTAATTGATAGTAAACTCTAGAACCAGGCTTAATCTTGTACATAAAAGATCTATATACTCTGGTAGTTTCTGTATGCATATTTGAATCAGTAAAAGGTAGTTTGATAATTGAGTTCGATACTGGAGCCCTATTTCCCTCTCTTTCTTTTAATTTTCCGTTATCACACCAAAAGATGTAAATGTTTTGTGGAAGTTGAAAATCAATTTTATGATCTCAAACACAGATTTTTAGGCCTTTTATTTGTTGGCCTGATCAGTTATTTATGCGTGAAAGACACCACTGCATATCATCCGTTCGTTCTCCGGTTTCCGGTATCCTGCTTGTGACAACAGTTATTAGTGAGAGATTTTGAGGCTCATGTTCAATCACTCGGTTGCAGATTTACCCGATTTGGTCCCGGATCGGTACAGTCTGGAAAGCTCCTCCTATCTACAAAGAATGAGTTTATGGCTTCTGGAGTGTGCATTAGAAGAGAACTGTTTGCCAGATACCGTGTATCAAATCATCGATCGCAACCCCGGTAAGTGCTTCAAAATGAATTTCATTGCTGAAGCCATTTGGACTATTTGAAATGATGTGGAATGATTGTAGCTCGGGATGAGGATGTTGGTGTTAGCGAGTTCTCCGAGCTGGAAGTGTAGTTCTCAGACGTTTCATGCGACTTTGAGGAAGCCGCACTGATGATGTTGCCTCGCTTGGCTACGAAGGGTCTGAGAACTACACTTCCAGCTCGGATAACTCAAAAACACCAACCCCATTTGGACTATGTTCAAGTGAATGTGATTTGTTGCACAATATTTTACAGTACCTCGGTACTATTCTTTCTTTGACAAAACTAATTTGTACGAGGGTTTGTCCAATTAATCTGAATTTGCTTGTACTGAATTCAAAACAGAAAAGCATTTTCCTCCGTCAGATATATTTACCAAATTGTCCACGAAACGGATCTGTTCAACATCCAGACAATGTTTTGACACAAACTCTTCGTGGCAGCATATCCACAGGTCACTTGAAGAGTCTCAGACACCCAAACAAACAATCTGGTTCTTATATCATTAATTACCTTAGCAAAAGCCTATGCGTCGCTTATATATATGTAAAATATTTCCAATCTTCCAAGGCCCATAGCATGTTATCTATGTGAGCAGAGTAAACATAAGCCCTGGTCTAATAATCGACGAGTCACGTTTGGTGACCAAAAAAGGTAAACTTTCACAGCAAATTCTTTTACCGTATTATGTTTATCTGATAACTGTAGTAAATGTCATATGAATTTTCAAACAACTGTAGAAGAATGTAATAACTTTGGGTTGGAAAAATAGTGTTAATGAAGGCAAGAATTTAAACTTATCCCGAAGTTCCATCTGATCAAAAATCTGAATATTTGCCTTTCTGATATGTCCATCGATTCGTTCAAAGGTAATTATGCATGGATGACTCGAACTTTGTTACGATTCTCCTCCATTATCGAGAACGTCGGTACCGCGGCATTCAAACCCCTAGAAGAACCGGAAAATTGGGAGTGGCACGCTTGCCACATGTAAGTGATTGTCATTGTTTTTTACCACCAAAGTCATACCTCTCTGTTTTTCCCTGCCATCTCTGCTCCAAGTAGACACATTTATTCCCTTCGTTAATCTGATTCAAATTTGTATTCATTGTATTGCTGCGAGATATAAATAATTGCACTGGGATCAAAAAATGATGATGAAACGTGCTTATCAAATGTCAAATAACGGGGTAAATAACCATCTTACTGATTGTTCTTTTTTGTAACCTGAAAATGCAATCGATCTAGAGAATTGTATTCAGGATTATTTCAGGATTTCATGCAGGTTTTGATTTGCTTATTACACTTTTATTACATTTTTCTCCTATAAAAACTTTACCTATTTATTTTAAAAATCTCCTCGTGAAATGTGCATCTCCGTCGTTGCTCATACTGCCCAGTGGCTGCAAGTGTTACAAGCAGATTTTGAAATAACTCTATTCACTCAATTTTCAACCATCAGTTACGACTGTTTTGTACTATGTGGTACAATTTTCTCAACACTGTGAATTTCAAAAGAAATCATTTTCTTGTTAAGTGTTCTTGTGCGGCTTATTCTTAGTGAATTTAGTGGACTAGTTACGGATTTCATTCTAATTTATCGCTTTTGAGCGATCTCTACAAACAGGATTATTGAACTAGCAGTATTTTATAAATTTCGCTTACCCTATCATTAGACTCAACTGACCTCTGTTATGCGTTTCGATTCATCTTTATCAATACCTCTTTATATATCTGTATATTTATCAGGCATTACCATAGTATGAAAGTGTTTTCGCGCTACGAAGTCGTCGATACCGATTTGAGACTTGTATCTGTAGGACTAAAAGCCAGTTTCTGTTTGGAGGACAACGTTTGTCAGGCTGGTGTCACCCCGGTTTTCCGATGTAGCAATGTGATCGACAGCAAAGGTACACAAGGTGAGTATCCTCAGAAAAAAATTAGCAAGAATTGATTTTTGACTCTAAATACAATCACAATGCACCAAGAATATTTTGAAACGGTTTTCATCATACCAACAGCACACATCAAAATGTTCAGCCTTCAAATGATCATGTTAAAGTCTCAACATCACCTATTAGGATGGTGAATTTATCCATCACTTGGGTGTCCTCAGACTGATCACTTTCTCATTCGGAAATATGCTTTTGTAGAATTGTAACGAAATTGGAATCAGCAAAATAATTTAGAAGTTATTTGACGGCTGGTAATTCGGAATTACGGCATCGTAGAAAATTTGCATAATTGTTTAACCGTGTGAACAAAATAGGGTCAATAAGAGAACTTTTAATCCATCCAGTCGCATATGATTAATTGTCTCCTATTATGGCATGGACTCACTCAGTCATGTGACAACAGTGGTTAGTTTCTTTTAGTGTCTACAATATGTTGTTCGATAAATTAAACCGTTCTCTTTTTGGGTTAGCACATTAGAATTCGATCCAGATTCCCCGTACAGATTTCGATCAAGCCTATCCTTGCCTTGCTATGTGACAGTTTCCTTTTGTAACGGTATTTGTCAACCATCTAAATACGATTGGTGTTAGACACCAGTTAGCTTACAATTTGAGTAAATAACCTTCATTGAATAGTACCAGTGAACTCCATCAAATAGTCCCGGAGATCACAAGTTCTTCTGTGTTCAATCAGGATATCAGCGTTTGGTCGCGAAAACGATTTAGTTTTGTGATCACGTTTCTGAGGTCCCGTGCAAAAAATTCGTTTATTCAGTCTATCGGGATCAGCTGAGTCGGCATCATTTATGCTCCATTCATTGCGTTGATTATTACAATAATATGCGGCTCTTCACCCTATCCCTCATTGGTTTAGGTATAACACCAGGTTGTCGGGACATGTACTTACACGATTACGATTGTCAGTGGGTCGATATCACAGATGTGGCTCCGGGAAAGTACACGTTCCAGGTCAGTTTCAAACGGAACATGGTGGTCACATGCGGTTTGCACTGATCTCAGCCAGACTGCGAACAGTTAATTGTTATCATGACAAATGATTTTATTGAATTATTTAAAACCAATTTTACTTTGGACAACTTGTTTTCGTGCGTAGAAACTGAGCGAGTGGGAGTGTGTGTGTCTACATGATCCACGAATGACCTCATCCGGCACAGCTTAAAACTCATATTTGAGTACTTTTTACGTGGAATAGGTACACATTTGCCCATATGGTTGCATTTTCTTCCATTTTAATATCAAAGAGGCTTCGCCGAAATTATATCAGTTGAAATGTAGCTAAATCAAATAGTGTTGGAAGACTAATTTTTATGAATTGTTCGATTGCCCTGTGTGACAAAATGAACACGATGACTTGTTTCATGCGTGCGTTGTTATTCGTTTCTCTGATTACGGAAACAAATATCAAACTGAGGCGAAATGTTCTCAAAGATGCTGAACATTATTTGTATGTGAAATTATGAGACCAGTATAGAACCGCTTTTCATTGTTTCGTTGCTAAAATCACCTATTGAGCCTTGAGTCCAGAAACCATCACGCACCCACCCACCCCAGCGCTCCTACATCGCTTCCTCGTTCAGTCCATGGCAGGAACCGCCTTTTTAGAGGGCTTTCAACCTTTGTTCAAATCCGGTAAACTGGCAATAATGCATTTAAGCTTTGGCAGACACCAGATTATCTATCAGTAATTTTGATTTCAGTGTAAGTGAAAAGGTGTTTTTGCTAGGTTATTTCCAATCACATAGAAGTGATACCAGTCTATGGATTAAGGCAAACCTCCAGGTATCTTGGCAGAGATGATTTATATTGTGCCGTTGTGGCTCAACCTAAATCCAAACTGATTAAACAAACAAACTTTAACTGACATATTTTCCCCTCGCATCCCACATCAGGTCAAAGATGATATTGTAATATTCCATATGTCACTACCAGTAAAGATTATTTGGTTTAAACACGGATTTATGATGCCAAATTTCAAAGACCGCATGTAAATACGTCAGTCTAATTCTGCTCGTAACCTCACTGGATGAATTAATTATTCCAGATTTTTCTCTTAATCTTTAGCCATGAGACGTTTTCTGCTAAAGTTTATCAAAAAATAACATTAAGGAACTACCACTGGTAGTGATCCCAAATCTTCTGTTAAATTTACATGTACACCTGTTTCTAATCCTTCACTA